GATTATCCTCTGTAGTATTACCACAGCCAAAACATCCTAAGACTTAGTATCAATATCTGAATAGAGGGCATTTAAATGTTGAAAGGTCATCTTTCAAGCAATTAGTTTACAAATTCTAAAACCAGGAAAATTCGTGACATCCAATGTTATTCTTCATTAGCTTAAATCTGACAAGAAACACTGAAATATGATGGGTTTCGGATTAATCAAATATAGGCTGTCACCTTGTAACTACAAGTTAAGCTCTTTAAATTTAGTGCATAAAATTGTTAAAAGGTACCTTCTGGTGTTCATTTGATTAAATTTTCCTTCCTCCCAAAAATTTAAAACAGTCAAAAAGAACAAAAAAACTTGCCAAACATAAGTCTAAACAGAGCTGGGGTACATCCCTGTAAATGAGTTTTAATGATAAAGGTTCTCATGGTTTTCTTCACACAACTGCTCAAATAACCACGTATTCAACGCGTTGCTTCAGATTCAGTTTACTTGAGTTATAAAGTAAAGTGAATCTATCATTCAGACTTTTAGCAACTTTATGTTGTCGGTGGCTGACGCAGTTTATTGCTAACGCATTGCTGTTGTTGAAAATTTTTCAATTATCGGTCTGAATTCGGACAATAAGATTTTACACAATATGAAAAGTTGCATGCGTTTATTTTCAGAATTACCGAGAATATTAAATGTTTGTCAAATTTAGAATACTTTTTGAAACAAAACATTTTCGGAATTACTGTCTCTAAGAGAGCAAAGCGTGTACTTTATTTTTCAGGACAAAGGTTCGATTGATCCCAACAATGAGAACTAGATACAGAGTGATTGGAGCACTCTGTCCATGAAAACATATATAAAAAAGACTCGTTTTTGAATCCTCCCCTTCCCCCCCAAAAAAGCCAATTACTATTATTTTGTTTTTAAAAAAAATTCCATTGTCCTGGTAAAATAAACATTATGCCTAACTCTGAATTTATTTTTTGATTTATTTCAATATGGAATCAACGATGGTAGTTTTAAAAAGGACGGAAATGTTTCTTCCAGCCGTCCTTCGGAGTTTCTACTAGATGATAGCATGATTAAGGTAGGGGGAAAACCTTACACATTCTAAAGTTTTTAATTAATACCTTTTTAATTAGTAGTAAATTTGTTTAAAGGATCATCGGAATAATTCCTGATTTTGGGTATCTTCGTTACGGTTTTGCGTTTAGCGGTTCATGAGAAGATAGTCTCACATAAATAGATAGATACGTTTCTCATATTTTAATAATGTTTGTATATAGATATTAGTGTTTATCGTTTTATTTAAGTAAAAAAACTTCTGTATATGCATGTTATTCAATTTATTGAAAGACAAAATTAAAATCATGCCAGACCCAAACAAGATCTGTTAAGGAATCCTACTGCGTTCGAAACCGTGATTTTGCAAAAGCGTATAAATGGATAATATTTATGATATTTAGTGTCACTTAGATCAGAAAACGTATATAAAATTGTTTTAAGAGTATTATAACAATAACAACTTATTTAAGTACAATATTTTGACAAAAAATGAACATAGAATGACCTATTTTCAAAACATTCTCCGTTTATGAAAAATGCTTCTTTATAATAATATCTTGTTTGTGTGTAGCTCAGACCTCTGTACAGAAGCCGAACTAGAATTTTTGAAATATATAACTTAGAAGTGCATTTATTCATAATGTTACGAATTTAGTCTTATTCTAATTGTTTCTACTCATTTGTGTTCATTTTTACAGTTTAATTTGTCGTATCTAATGTGATTTCAACCCTGTTTACCTGTAATATCATTTCCACTGCATTGCACGGCCCCCATGCTTTAACATTGGTTTAAATGGTAAACTCGCCAAATATTGCAGCTAGCGCCAAGTTGGCGACGGATTTGGCGACTTAATTTTTGGCGCCAAATGTGGGCGATAAGCTTGGAGACCATGGCAACCCTGCTCCTAATAACCCTGTCTGGCAACCCTATCGCGGTATTGTAACACTATTGTATTGAATGTATTACTGTATTGAGCTTTTCTCGTACGTTCCGGATTTTGCTAGACCTTTCTATTTCTCGATTATTCTGGCAAATGCAAGAGGTTTCTGACCGAAAGGTATAAAAAGGCCCGGGCCGGCTAGTCAGTTAGTCAGATCTCAGCTTTCATGCAAGTGATACCTCTCTGTGCTTGAGACAGAGAGAGACGATTGCATAGTGCGTGTGTTATTGCTTTTATTGAGTTATTATTTTTGTGCTGAGTGTTTACTATTGCTTTTGTTAGTGTATTACATCTGTGTTATCAGTATTTTCATCGATTGTACGTGACTTTCTCGAACTGTTCTACAATTTGTGGAGGACTGTTTTGGCCAAGAATAAAATTGTTTTGGATCCCGCTCTTCGGCTTCAATCATTTCGAACCCCCGAAAACGCAACAATATTTTACTGCAACAGAGGGTAAAAATTTTAATAAAAAAACGCCGATAATTATTTTAATTAGTAGTAACTCCGAAAATAATGTGAATTTTTCAAAAATCCTAGTTCATACTCTTTGGAGAAGTCTTTGTTTTATATAAGCAAACTATTACTATTATAGAAGCATTTTTTATAAAAGGAGAACGTTTTGAAAAAAGGTTATTCTTAGTTAATTTTTTGACAAAATATTGTATTTAAATAATTTTTTTTGTCATAATGTTCTTAAAACAATTTTATATATGCATTTTAATCTAAGTCACACTAAATATCATGAAAATGATATATTTATGCCCTTTTTTAAAATCTCGGTTCCGAACGTAGTTGGATACTTTAAGTAAGAGCCACTACAAACCTCGAGTTGCACCTAAGACTCCTAATTCTTTATTTTTCTTGCTGACATGTACCCCTTGCAGTTCGTCAAAGATACTTGGGAGTCGATATAGACCACTTTGTTAATCACTGTACTAGCACAAACAATTTATATTTCTGAGCTCCATATATTGGTGAATCTTGCAAAAACCTTTAGATTATTGAATTTTACATAAAAAATTTTACCTCTCTAGTGTATCACAAACAAATAATTGGCAACTTTCAAAAAATAGTCAACTTAATTTCAAATTTTTCTCAAAAGACGATATATTTTATTTAGATATATGTTGTCTTTTACTCTAGTATATTGAACTCGAAAACTATAAATAATTCATATTTTTGAGCTACGTGTAACAGTTAATCGGGCAACAGCCTTATGATATTCCTAAATTTTAAACACATAAATTTAACCTCTTTACCCTGAAACTTTAAACAAATATTTCGCGAGTATAAGCAAGGTCCTTCAAAAAATGATCAGTCGAATTGCAAAATATTTTTGTCAAAAGAGAATTCCTATTAAATTATTTTAATCATGATATTGTACTACAAACTCTTCATTATGACCGTAAAATAATTCAACAGCATTCCATTCCCAAGTAAACAAGATAACAAACCAGGATGCAGTCGCAAAATATTTACGTGTTATTATGAACGATATTATTTGTGTTAAGTACATTTAATTATTTTAAGCTCTAACTGCGCCATAATTTTTTGGTGATTTCCCTCGCATTCAGAACTTAATGGAGAAATGGCGGGAACACTACGTCATCCATTTTCTTTGTTTCACAGAGAATATTACACAATAAATGCCCCCGAATCTTTTAATGGATAAAGAAGAGATTTATGCATCTTTTATTTATTTCTCCATGCCCAAAAATGAGTAGAAACACTTCCAAAAATTAACATACTTTTTGTAGCACAAGCCTCAAATTTACTACAGTATCTGGTGACGTCACCAAAGAATCTCAATGGAATACGAATTTCGGAATTCGACAAAATTTCTTCCATGTTTATTCTGAATGAATTTTTTCTTTTTTAACTTACAGAATAACCCCTGATTTGTTGTTCATTTACTTTCATTTTTTATTCGGCAACTTAAAAGCTTCAAAAGATAAAATAACTATTATTAGGCTGTTAGCTATTTATAGAAAATACAATATTTATTTTATGGAAATTTATCTCTCATATTTTCTATTTAATAAATAAAATGTCCCCTCTAATCATCTCATGGACCATTTGGGGGAGTGTTATTAGTCTTGCTACCATCTATTTCATCCCTATTCAAACTTTGTTTAACATAACTTCACAGTTCTGAGGAATGGAGTGGCTGAATGGTCATATTCACGTACTAGTGGTCGCGACTATGGCCATTTCTTCTTTCGAGCCGTGAGTTGAAGTCTCGATACCGTGTGAGGAAATGATGGTTAAATAAATCAAAGTTCAAATTCCTCGAGAGTGATGTGGAAATATGGGCAGAGTGGTGTCGTTCTATTCATTTAATCGAAGTACAAATTTACAATAATCGTCACCGATAGACATTGTGTAGGTTCGGAGCTCTACATTAATAAGCAATCAATCTCTTTATGTAAATCCATTATGAATTCGTTCCCAACCCTATTAGTATGACCCTAAAAATTTCCAAATTTGAAACAGTAAGAATTTTTTTATGTACTTAACAAAATTTATAGTGCAAAAAACCTTTATACTACAACGAACATTGCATAATTTTTCTAGTTAGATTCATCGTGACAGAATGTATCAAGTTAAAAAATATTTCTTGATGTAACATAATATTTGAATAATATCACACATTTGTCTCTATTACGAAATAACAAATCTGAATGTTACGATATAGTTACAAACAAGTAATATAACAAAATAAATTAAGTCAATTCCTTCTGATGTCAACAAAGAAAAATTTAATTTTAGTTACTTTTTTTATTAAATAATTACACTTAATATGAATATGTATATATGCAGAGATGACAGAATCACAATATTAAGTGGCAAAATAGGAAGCGATTTTCCTTGCAAATTTCCATTTTCCTTTCTATATAGGGTTTTGGACTATTATTTTTGTTTATTACTATTTATTCATTAACTAAATTTAATTATTCCAATAAAATAGTATAGTAAAAAGTAGTCACATTCACAGAAATTAGGCCATTCCAGGTGAGATTCGAACTCTCGACCTTTGGATTAGAAGTCCAAAGCGCTATCCAGTGCACTACTGGGACACGACGAGCGATTTTCCGTTTTATATATTGTGTTGGACTATTATTTTTGTTACTTTTTTATTCATTTTTTAAATTTAATTAATGAATTAATATTTAAAAAAAACTGTATCAACATCAAGTGTCATCCACTACAATTTTAAAAAATATATATTTGAACTCGAGTGGATGAATAAAAAGCATTTTATTAACGATTGAAAGTACCAGGTGGTTATAATTAAAGTTACACTATTCAGAAACCTGTAGAACTCTTTCTGCTTATCGTATTTTGATGGAACTTGGAATATATGCTATATGAACCATGGGGAAATGGTTTCTGTAGTAAAAAAAGTTCAAATTTTGACGACCACGAGGAAATGTGGTGCCCAAATGTTATGTTAGAATCGTTAAAATTTATTCATTTGCAGAATATGCTCAATATGTGCTCCATTGACATCAACAACGTGTTGAAAGAGCGTATTATAGCGTCTTCAATGGTAGAGAGAAGCAATTTATATGAGAGATTTCAGCCACATGGCGTATAATGCTAGCTTTCCAAATTAGGTAAAGTCCAAATTCCTCCTCTTTAAACACAATCTTTTAGAAATCTCCACAAACAGAAATCACAGGGATTGAAGTCGGGTGAAAGAGAAGACCATGCATCCGAAAAAATTCTGGATATTACACGATTATCGCCAAAGTTAGCACTAAGCAGTGTTTTGACTTGACGCCCAAAGTGAGGAGTTGCTCCATCTAGCATAAATATAGTGGTTTGCAAACATTGTCGTTCCTCTAAAGCTGCAATGACCTATTATTCAAGAAGTTCACCGTAACATGGACTCGTGACAGTTTATCTTTTATGACCTTGTGGAGTGAGAGTTTCTAAGAAAAAAAGCACGAGGATAAACTCAGCAGTAAATCCACACGAAGCAGTCGCGTACTCAGAACGCAGTGGTTGTTAATGCAGGATATTTTGAGGTGAAGTACCCCATATGCTGCAATGTTCAGTATTCACAGCTCCATCTAAATAAAAGTGTGCCTTATCTGAATATAGAATTTTCCAAAGCCACACATCATCAACTTCCATTCTCACCAAATGTTGGCAAGCAAATTCAAGACACGTTTTCTAATCTTGAGGTTTCAGCTTTTGCATCACGTAAATCTTGTACGGATACCATTTCAAAATTTATCGCAGAATTCTTCATACTGTCGACCACGGAATCTCCAACTCACGTGACACTGATCTACCACTTGCTGAAGAATAGATGGAACTGGAGTAGCAGAGTAGTCGCAGTAGCGAATTTTTCCACAGTTTCAGTCCCAACCGGGTTCTGTCCTCTTCCGGGCAGCACACCCAAAAATTTCCAGTTTCTTCAAACTTCATAATCATCTTCCTCAAACCAATCCTCGATATGAGGCCTTTTCACAGATCGTTTAAACGACGATACTCACTTAGAGCAGCTGAGTGGTTGCTGCCGTTTTAATAAAACAGTTTTTCCAGTAAAGCTTGATTTTTTTTTGTAAAGGCATGATTTATGCTGAATGAGAGAGAGATTCTCTGGCTATGACTCCAAGTTTATATAGAGGTTTCACGGATTTGCATAAGGAATATTCGATAAAAGTCACCTGGTGCTCAAAATTTGTACTATTTTTTACTGCAGAAACCCTTTTCTTATGCAGTATATATTCCAAGTTTCATCAAATTCCAATAAGAAGAACAAATTCTACAGACCTCTAAATAGTGTAACTTTAATTATGAACACCTGGTATGAACACGATATATATATACATATACACCCAGGAACTTTGAAAATAGCGACCCCAGAAGAAATCATCGGATTGAAATGAAATTTAATACACATAATGACACAGATGAGAGATTCACTTGATCTCAAAAACCAGACAATTAAACGAATACAGGGTGTGCAACGACACAAATACTGGGTAACTTCAATAGCGCGTTGGACCACCTCCAGCTGCAATACATGCCACCACACGGTCCGGCATTGAGTTGATTAGACACCTTATGTTGTCCTGAAGCAGATGGGCAAACATATCTTGAACGGCCAACTCTAAATCCTGTACAGAGTGACACGATGGCATCTGCCGTTTTAGCTGATCACACACGTGCTCTACAGGGAACAAATCTGGGGAGCGGGCCGGCCATGGAAGAGTCTGAAAATGACGTAGGAAGTCTTGAGCAACTCTTGCTCTATGCGGACGAGCATTATCTTGCTGGAAAATTGCCCCTGGGAGACCATTTAGGAAAGGTCCTACATGGGGTCGAAGTATATCATCAACATAACGTTGGCCCGTAAAGGTTCCACGCATCACAATTAAAGTGGACCAGCTGTCTTAGGCTTTGCCCCCCCCACCAGACCATTACACCAGCTGTGCGGGCAGTGTAACGTAGAACAGTGTGGGGGGAATTGTACCGCTCACCAGGGCGCCTCCACACCCGTACACGGTTATCATGTGTCCCAAAAACAAACCGGGATTCATCACTAAACACAACCTTTTGCCAATCTGTGACATTCTACATTGATCTGGCTTGGCACCACTGTAGACACATTTGCCGATGTTCCGGTGTTTGAAGGGAGTACACGGAAAGGGCGCTTGGATTTAAGATTTGCTTCTGCAAGGTGTCTGGAAATTGTTTGTGGAACAATTGTTACACCTACGGCTGCTCGTATCGTTGAACGAGTCACTGTGGGGTCCACAAGTGCTTGCCGCACGATCCTTCGATCCTCTCTCCTCGTGGTCTTCTTGGTCGCTCCAGACCTGGTTTTCGGCGCGTGGGTACCTTCTCGTGTCCACTGCTCCCAACAATTTCTAACGGCACACTCCGAACGATCCACCTGGCCAGCAACACGGCGCGTCGACCAGCCTGCAGTTTTCTTCACGATGATCAGGCCTCTCTAAAACTCGCTTAACTGTCAGAAATGTCTTTTAGCACGTTTACCTAGCATGTTTCGCTTACCAAAAATCTTCCTACTATCGGCGGGTAATCGTCACGTTTATGAATCTTCGAATTTGCGCTGGCTTATATAGCACCCTCTTCCTGATTGTAGCGCCACCTCGGCGTGTATGAGCATGCGTATTGGCACAAAACTTGGATCATTTGCATATCACATTACGCTGTACTTATTTGCAAAGTTTCGCGATTGTACTTTGCTTCATTCTTGGGTCGCTATTTTCAATGTTCCTGAGTGTATATATAAATAAATATATATAGGGAGAGTATGAACAAATAGTATTATTTAAAAAAGGTAAAAAAATTCCATTATGAACTAAAATTTGTTTTAAAAATACCACAATGGCATGTAAATCGTCCAATTGTGATGAATGGGCCCGAATTAGATTTGCGTTTCCATACATTAGTCATCGAGAGTTATTATTACATTCGCAGGAAAATTGTCGTCGGAATCTTCTCTTTGTTTTTAAAAGCAATGTAAAGCAAGTTAGAAAGTGAAAAAAGTAACTTTTTCTCATTCAATATCTTATTAAATTTCTAACTCAAGGCTTACAATTTCATCCATCAAAATATGACCTTAATTACCGAAAACTCGATTATTATTTAAATAGGATCGCAAAATCGATATTACTTTGAGGAAACCGTGATAGGAAATAAGATTCTTGGAGTCGAAGTACAAAATGAAGTTACATTATTAACTAAAATTAAGCTTAATTTTTAGCCTCAATGTTGTTATTAATTTAAATTATAGTTAGGAGAGTTGTTTAATTTCAATTGATGATCATCTTCGCAAAACCAGGTACATATATTATGATTCTTTTATCAATTCAAAACTATGAAACAACTTATTTAGAACGAGAAAATACACTATTATGTATGACCATTGTAGTAAAACTTAAGGTATCCGCCTACGTTCGGAACTGTGATTTTAAAAAAGCGCATAAATGGATAATTTTCATGATATTTAGTGCCACTTAGATTAGAATACATGCATAAAATTGTTTTAAGGACACTTTGACAAAAAAAAAAAAAATTATTTAAATGTAATACTTCGGCGAAGAATTAACTTAGAATAACCTTTATTCAAAATGTTCTCCTTTTGTGAAAATTGCTTATATTATAATAATATTTTGCTTGTAAATAGCTCAGACTTCTGTACAAAGGCTCAACTACGAGTTTTGAAAAATTCACATTATTTTCAGAGTTACACCCAATTTAAATAATTATCGGCGTTTTTTCTTAAAACTTCTCCCCTCTGTTGTCGTAAAACATGGATAAACCCACTTCTAAGTTATATATTTCAAAAATTCTAGTTGGGCCTTTGTACAGAGGTCGGAGCTATATACTGTCAAAATATTTTTATAATAGAAGCATTTTCACAAAAGGAGAATATTTTGAAAATGGGTTATTCTGTATTCATTTTTTGTCAAAATATTCTACTTAAATAATTTTTATTGTAATACTATTCTTAAAACAATTTTATATACATTTTCTAATCTAAATGACACTAAATATCATAAATATTATCTATTTATACGCATTTGCCAAATCGTGGTTCCGAACGTAGTCGGATACCTTAAATAATTATTTTTAGAAGCATACAAAAAAAATTGGAAAGAAATACTTATTGTTCTTTGAATGAGATGAATTAGATATATAGACAAACCTTAAATTTAAAAAAAGAGAGGAAGTTAAGATGGATCTAAGCTTGGATTTCCTTGGGTAATAGGGTGCGAGAGCTCAGTTGAACGATAATATCAGTTTCAAAAATAGTTAAGTACTTTTTCTCGTCTTTGGGGGAGGGATTAAGAGCCGGCTGTAATCCTTGTGAAGTCCTAGTATATATTACGTAATTTAATCTAACCAATGTATAAAAACTGCTCTCTAAAAATAATGTGCAAGAATTTTCTTTCTGATACATTAAACTGAGAGAGAGAGAGAGAGATTCTGATTTCTCTCTAAACAAAGTCTGTATTCAATTCATTCAAAGCATTCAATTACTATCAGCAAATATTAGGCATATTTGATGTATATGTGTGTTTTAGTGAAA